CTGGCTCCTCCTCCCACCGTCTCACCTTTTGCACTATTAAAGCACTATGCTCCACTATCTTCTCACACTCCATGCTCCCCCATGTTCACCACTCACCTTTCTTTGGAGACCCTCGAGTTGTCTTGCAGGACTGGCACTACTGTGACTTTCTCAGGCCTCCGTCTCCATCCTTGTTCTGTCCTTTGTATTCCAAATATTTTTTCTGATATTCTATTCTAAAACTTACTCATTTTCTTCTTATAGCTCACATCCAGATAGCCATATATCTGTTCTGCTAGGTTTAAAACACATACAGAGCATGGCCTCACTACCTCTTTCTGGGTACCACTAGCTCTTCCTGAATTGCTGTTGTAACCTTCTTCCTGGTCTCTAATCTTTTTCACCTTTATCCTACTTCACAATCTTGTGAACTCTACATCCAAAAGGATGCTTTAAAAGCAGAAGTCACATCACAACAACTTTGCACAAAATCCTCCAATAGGAAGCTTCCTCTATGCTGGTTACCTTTCATCATGTCAGGAGATGCTATTCAGGTTGTTGGAGAGAAAGTCATCAATGATCTCAATAAGCTATCCACCAAGGTATACTTGTGCGTGTAATAGTGGCTTGACTGTCCCAAGAGTGACCAACCCCTTCTTGATTGGATCCGTACTCCATGGGAGGCAATTCATACCTGGTGCTGTGATCCTGGTATAGCAGTCAAAATGAGAATGACTCCTATAAACTAATATAGTGAATGCTTGGTCTCCAGTGGGTGGAATTGCTTGGGAAGAATTATGGGGTGTGGCCTTGTTGGAGTGGTGTGTCACTGGGGACAGTTTGAAGGTTCAAATGACTCTCACCATTTCCAGTATTCTGTTCTCTGCCTCTTACTTTTTGATCAAGAGGTGAGGTTTCAGTTGTGCCTACTGTCATGCCTTTGCTCTGCCATCATGGACTTTGATCCTCTGAAACCATGAGCCCAATCAAATGACTTCTCTTGTAAGTGGCCTTGACTGTGGGGTTTGTAAGAGCAAGAGGAAAGTAACCTGGTCAAAAGCCTGCGTCGCACGGCCTAGGGAGGAATCTACTATTGATGCTTTGCTAAATGAGCATGTAGTCTAACTGCCTTCCAAGCATTTCTGTTTATATCCCACAGACTGGTGCAGCTCCCAGTCTTAGGGAAGCCTCTTTTGACAGTGGACAGTGGTCTAATGCAAAACTCATAACTAACTGGTCAAAATCTGAGAATAAGAGGCTGCTAAAGGTGAAGCCCTAAGTGGAATGTCTTCGTTACCCATGTAACGGCTCAAGGAGGAAAAATCATGAAAAAGGGAGTAGAGTAACTAAAGCGGAGGATGTGGAACACTCTAAAATATGGCCCTGTGGATGTGGCGTGGATATGGCACAGCGTAACATAATAATATAATCAGAAGCATTTGGCGACACAAGACCTGCACATAAAGAGAAAAAAAGACAGTCTTCCCAAATACCAAACAATACGCTCATCACAGCACCCCATGAAATCGTCTCTAAAATACATCACATTAGGAAACAAAGCAAGTCTCAGCAAATGAAGAAAATTGAAACATTCTCTATCTGACCACATGAGTTAAAACTAGAAATCAATAGCAAGAAAATTACAGAAACCGCAACCTTGTTGAAATTAAACAGCTATTGAATGATGACTAGCAGATCACTGCAGAAATCAAGAAGGAAAACTTCAAAGTTTCAGAATTATTCTCATTTTATGTACATTGGTGTTTTGCCTGCCTGTATGTCTGTGTGACAATGTCAGATCTTGGAGTTACAGATAGTTATTAGCTACCATGTGGGTGCTGGGAATTTAGCCCGGATCCTCTAGAAGAATAGTCAGTGCTCATAACCACTGAGCCATCTCTTCAGCAAGTTTCTAGAATTAAATGATAATCAAAACACAACATGTCCAAATCCATGAGCTACAGTCTAGTCCTAAGAAGGAAGTTTATAGCTCTAGGTGCTTACTTTAATATCAGAAGGAGTTTAAATAAATAAGCTCACAATGATCCTTAAGGCACTGGATAAACAAAAACAAACCAATTTCAGAAGCAGTAGATGGATAAAAATAATGATGATCAGGACAGAAATTATTGAAATAGGAAAAAAAGGATCCTAGCAACAACAAAAACAACAAAAGAGAAATATATAAGTCAATCTCTCTGTATCTGAAGACAGACACAATCAATCAAATACTGTAATAAAGAACACATCCAAAGGATCATTCACCATGATCAAGTTGACTTCATTCCACAGATGGAGGTATGATTCGACGTAGGTTAAATCAGTAAATAGAATTCACCACATAAAAGAGACTCAAAGACAGCAATCACTTGCTCATTTCAGTTGAGAGGAAAAGGCCTTTCATAGAATCCAACATGATTAAAAAGGAATCCTATAGAAACTAAGGATGAAGGAACATATTTCAACATTTTGACAAACTGATAGTCACTATCATATCAAATGGAAAACAACAACAGCAGCAGCTCTGAAGCATTGCCACTAAGACCAGGAACAAGTCAAGGGTGTTCCCGTTCACATGTCCATTCAGTACAGCACTTACGTCCTACTTAGAGCAGTAAAACAAGAGAAGACCACAGAAGGAGTATACATAAGAAAGGAAGAAGGCAAAGTATTTCTATTTGTATATTGCCTGATTCTGTAAATGAGAGACCCTGAAGACTCTACCAGGAAACTCTTAGAGCTAAACACTTTCAGCAAAGTGTTTACAAGATAATATTTAAATCAGTAGCCTTCCTATACACCCAAAACAGGCAAAGAGGGGGCTGAAGAGATGGCTCAGTGGTTAAGAGCACTGGCTGCTCTTCCAGAGGACCTGGATTCAGTTCCTAGCACCCACATGGCAGCTCACAACTGCCTGTACCTCCAGTTCCAGGGGATCTGATATCTTCACAGCAATGCACATAAAATAAATTAAAAGAAAAAAAACAAAGAAAGGAATCAGGGAAACCATCTAATCCACAATAGCCATATATGGCAATAGAATCCTTCAATAAACTTAACCATGGAATTGAAATACTTGTACAATGAACTTTAAACTACTGACAAAGGACATTAAAGATGACACCAGAAGATGGAAAAATTGCCTATGCTCATGGATTAGTAGGATTAATATGTGAAAGTGACCATCCTGCCGAAAAGCAATCTACAAATTCAATGCAATTTCCATCAAAATTCCAGTGCAAAGCTTCACAGGAACAAAAAAAAACGTCTTAAAATAAGTATGGATCACAAAAGACCTAAGTTAGTCAAAACGATGTAGAACAACAAAAACATTGCTGGAACTACCATTATAAATTTCAGGATATAGGCTCAAATAAGGACTTTATGAACAGGACTCTACTGGCACAGGAAATAAGAGCAACAATCAACAAGTGGGATTTTATGAAATTAGCAACTTCTGTACTGAAGAGGCTGTTACGGAATGGAGAAAAAAACTTCTCCAAGTATACACTTGATAGAGGATTAGCATCTAGAATATACAAAGAACTCAAAGACGGAACACCAAGGAAACAACCCAATTTGTTAATGGGCTCTGGAACTGAGTGGAGTTCTCAGAAGAATACAAAAGGCTAAGAAATATTTTCTAAAGTGTTCTCAATCTCTAGCCCTCAGGGAAATTACTTTACTAATTAAAATACTTTGGGAATTCATTTTACCCTAGTCAGAATGGCCAAGATAAGCAAACAAAAGGCTATAAATGCTGGGGTGGGTGTGGGGAAAGGGAGCCCTAATGCACTGCTAGTGGGATTGTAGATTGATAGAGCCACTATGGAAACCAGTGTGAAGCTTCCCAGGAAACTAGAAATAGATCTCCCGTGTGACCTCGCCTATTCCTGTATATATAACCGAAGAACTCTCTTTCCTATTACAGAAGCATGTGATCATCTGTGTTTATAGCTGTGTTATTCACAATAGTTAGGGCACAGAAATAGCCTAGATGTTCATCAACTGAGGACTGGCCAGTGAAGATGTGGTACCTGCACACTATGGAATTTTATTCAGCTATAAAGGAGAGTGGATCTCCACACCCCCAAGCTTACCTCCTGACCCACAGCCTGTGAAGCATCTTTGTTCACTAGCCACCTTTGCCTGATAAGTGTAGGTCTCACACCTCTTCAAAGAAGCTTCTCTTGGCAGCAGACAGAAGCCATCACAAAAGACCACAACTGAACAAAACTGGACAGAGAATACTGACCATGGGGTGCCTAGCCCCAGTTGGTAATATCTACAACACAACTCCTATGCCTACCATCGTGGAAGAGGGGGCAGAAAGCTAGTATGAGCTAGAGAGATAGGAAGTCTGCGATTAGATTTTATTCATCAGTAAAGATAATACACACACATATACACACAAGAGTATAATTAGAGTTACCCTACACAGGGGATTATGTTCATGCAAGAATCCATATAGGTCACCAAATAAAAAGCTCAGTGTCAGCTGTAGGACACTTCCCCTTGATTTTCTTTTTAATCAGAAGTGTCCTGGAGACACCCCCAACTATACAGGCCATTGCCATTGCTCTTGGTTGCCCATTAGAACTTGATAGTACGACCTTACTGCTGAAGACACCACATTCCTCGGTCATGGGACATGGGGAAATCAAGTTGATACCGAGCAGAAAGCTTCCTGTCTGGTGACTAGCTTTTATACTACTGGAAAGTACAACACAAGTTGCTGGGCTTGGGGAAGTCATCAGATCAGGAATCTGCCCCAGGTGTGAACCACGTAAACTGCAATAAGGATCAGCAAGATAGGATATGTATAGAGGTGAAACCGTGGCATGAATGCTGTGGATTTAAGGCCCGTGCCACAGGAAGAAACATATGCCTGCTACTGTAAATCCGGCCAAGAACCCACAGTCGGGGAGCTCACAGGCCCCAAATAGCAACCTACTGTTATTATTCTGTAAATGGATATTGTACCAAACTGCCTTATAAATTCCCATCTCTACTCACAGATCAGTGCAGCTCTCAGTCCTCAGCAGAGAAGTTTCTCTGTGGATCTCAGTGATTGACGCAGAAGCTCGCAACTGGTGAACGTGAAGGGAGTAAGTGTCACTAGAGTGCCCAGCCACACATAGGACATTTTTATCACACTGCCTTCCCCCAAGCCTCAGGGACCATCACAGCAGAGGCAGTAGCAAGGCTGTAGGAGCTAGAGAACAGGGAAGACCCAAGTCAAAGCAGATATGACCAGGACACCCTTGAACTCACAGCTGCTGTGGCTGCCTGCAGGAGACCTGAAAAAAATCAACCCAGTTAACATTCTAGCATGGAGTGAGGAAATGGTCCCCGACCCAGATCCCCGAGGAGCTATGTACAATCAACGGCTTCTGGAAGATGGAGTCAGTTTTCTTTAAAAACATGGTTCCTGGCTAGGCAACTGTACTTCAGTGGGTGGCTCAAACTTAAGTCAGTAGATTTGTTTGTTTGTTTGTTTGTTTTAAAGAGAAAAACATGAAATTGGAGTAGGTAAAGATATTCGGTCAGTGGACTTGGGATGAATTAGAAGGAGTGGAGGTAAATATGATCCAAAAGCATTGTATGAAATTATCAACAAATTAGTAATTGGGCAGGAGGGAGCCAGCTCCGTGGATCAGAGTCCATACTACCCTTCCAGAGGATCTGAGTTGGGTTCCCAACACCGGTGTTGGGAAGTGCACAAATGCCTGTAATTCTAGCTCCAGAAAACCTGCTGCTGCTGGCCTCCACAGGCACCCATACACACCCAAGTACACATTATTAAAAAATTAAAATAAGACTTTAAAAGGAGCTCATGTTAGTCAAGTGGTTGTGCTGCACACCTTTAATCCCAGCTCTCAGGAGGCAGAGGCAGCCAGATCTTTGTGAGTTAAAAAATAACCTGGTCTACAGAGGGAGTTTCAGGATAGCCAGGGCTACACAGAGGAACCCTGTCTCAGAAAAAAAGCAACAACAACCAAAAAGGAGCTCATGTATGTGTACAAAACATGAAAGAAAGAGGAAACTAGTTGAGAAGAAGGGGATCTCCAGGAGTTGGGGTGTAAGAGAAGATCACAGGGGTGAGAAGCATCACAGTACACTGGATACAAGTATGACAGTTAACAGTTAAGATGTGCTCACCTCCAGACATTCGCAAGACTGGCTTTCTCTCCTCCCTGAGGTCCTCAGTTCATGGCTTCTCTGCAAGGGCTCCCCTAACTGCCTCCGAAGTTCTTTATTTCTCTGCCTTGCTTTCTTCTTGTTTGCAGTACCTGTCATTGACATAAGCTGCAATTTACATATGTTCTGTCTGCTTTTGTCTCTCCACAGAAGGCCTGATGCGGTCAGTCTGCTTTGTCCACTGCTGGATCTCTGGGCACCGCTTTGTCCATTTGCCTCAATAAGCACTTTTTGAGCAAATCCAGATCTGCTGCTGAACTGTCTGAAACCGGCTCCTGAGGCAGACTACTCTTTCCCCTGAGCATCACTGGCTTTCTCTTGCTAAAATATGTATCCAGATTAAAAACGTGGCAGTTATCATTGCCTCTGGCTGCAGGATGATCTGATTTGCTACTGATTTCTTTCACTGTCGTGGGGTTATTAGAGTCGGCCCCGTCTCTTCTGCCGCGGTCAGCTTTGTGAATGGCTTAGGTTGGCAACAGGCTTGGGTTTGCATCCACTCTCCTCTGCTAACTAGACATGAGACCTTGGACAAGTTCATTGGGAGGGATAGAGGAGGCCTCAGGGCCCCACTGATCAAGAAGGATCTATGTGGAGGGTGGTTATAAATATTAAATAGATAACGTATCTGAAAGCTGGAGTGATACCAGAGACATAGATAATCAGTTGATTCCTTCACGTATGCGTGACGACAGATTTGTGTCACTCATTCTTGCTCTGTCTTTTGTAGCTCAGGCGGGAAGTGATTGACTTAAGATTTTTCAGCCCTGTAGTGGTGCCAAAGCAACACATGCTGAAGAAAAACCACGTGTCGCTCTTGGATTTTTGAACTCTTTCCAAGCTAGCAACATACAGTACCAAACTCTCCGATCATTCTGGTTCATGGCAGGCCTCGTGAGCCACGTGATACAGCCGATGCGTCAGTCCAGACTAGGCTTCCTGTTGGATTACCTTTGCTCGAGGGTGGGCAAAGGAAGTGGTTGGCATTCGTTTACTATAAGCTATGGCGAACTACGATGTCAGGTAGGCGGGGTGAATTAAATGTATTCCGTGTTAGCACATGCTCAATTTAAGACAGGTCTTCTGGGATGTAACACATCATAAGGGGAGGAGCATATATGTATCGCACCACCTCGCGCAAAAACTAACAACAACAAATCTCCTAAATACTGCAGCTGGGTGACATAGCAACCTTCAAACTTTTTCTCCAAATAAATAGAATTGTAACTCGTCTGCCTACTACGCCCCATCTGTTGTCGTCACACTCTGAAATCTAGCAATGCCAGAACATTCACCTAGAGTTCACTTCCCACCAGAGTTAGCAGCCTCCCTTTTTCCCTAGGTGTGAGCATTGATTTATGGACCAACTCGAGTTGATGTGGAACCCACATATTATTTAGTTGCCTGTTTCTCAATTTAATTATTTTTTTAGACAACACTTCGTGAAGTCAGTAGACTTTGTGTGCAGAGTACACAATGTGCAGGAGGACCATCCAGTCAGTTGAACAGGACCCTCAGGTAAAGCTGGGTCAGAGACATAACACAGTGTAGAGCTCATTCCTAGCTTGAGTGAGGACCCGGGTTCTGTTCTTGGTACAAGATGAAAGCAGAGTAGTAACTCTAGAGAAAGAAGAAATTGTGCTCCAGATTGCTGGGCTATTTACCTTTCTGTATTTACATTTGACTATCCCACCCCATTATCCCATGTATCAATTTCTTCTAAAACACTCCTCTGTCTCTCTGTCTCTGTCCCTCTCTCTTACACACACACACACAGCTGGTTCTCAGTGAGTACACTAGTCATGTCAGCCAGCCATTAGAACCTTATTAATTTTTTGCCGGGTGGTGGTGGTGGATGCCTTTAATCCCAGCACTCATGAGGCAGAGGCAAGTGGGTCTTTGTGAGTTCGAGACTAGCCTGGCCTACAGAGTGAGTTCCAGAACAGGCTCCAAAGCTACACAGAGAAATCCTGTCTCGAAAAACCAAAAGAACCTTGTCAATTTCTGGTGGCCCATCTCCTAATCTATAACTCTTCAGCCAGTAGTAGTTAGTAGTTTATTTTTCATTCATAATTTCCTGAACTTATCCAACATCTCTCTTTGTACTTATCCAACGTCTCTCTTTGTGTTGATATAATAATTTTCCTACAAGGATGTATGATTTTCTACTTCTGTTTCTTAGTAGCTGATGAAAGTTGTCTACTATTCTCCAGCCTTTATTGCTACATTGTAAAATGAGGGACTAACTCTCTAAATGAGTCGATGTATAGGGAAGCCACATTCTCACAGTTTTGTGAAACACCGTAGTGGAAAATGTGCTCAATTCCACCAATCCCCTGTGAAGCTTGTGTGGCAATGAATTGAGCCACACTGTATTCAGTCAAGCTGAACAGTGAAGAATGAAGACAGCTCTGAAAGGCTAGTTGGTTAAGAAAAAAAATGGAAGCTCTGTTGATCTATGATTGTAAGGATGTGCACATAAGAACCCAAGTGTGTGTGTACAGCAGATAGACACCAAAAAGACAGGCCACGATGGAAGCAGCCAAGGAGACTCAACTTTCAAGATCAAAGAATCTATTGGCTTTGGGAGAGTAAAGCAATTCTTATGCTTTAATCAAATGTAATGCTCAGAAGAGGAACTCTAAACAGTAAGAAATGAGAATAAGGTTATGAAATCCAAGGCAAATTTCCAGTCCCAGAGACTGGGTTCTCACATCAGCAGAGGAACAGAAGTTATAGTCAGCGTGAAATCAGTGAACATTATGATGACCAGGCTAGCCCTGGAAATGTTCTAGGGACAAGGCCAGTTCTAGGTGACAGCTACAGAAACGTCTACTGATTAAACCCTTGGCATCAGAGAGACAGCAGAGCCCAAAAGACTTCTGTAGAAGCATCTTAAGAGAATCAAGTCTCAGAGGTGCCTTCCTTTATCTGTAGGCCTAAAGCTTTCTCTCTGCGGGGATTGACATCTCTATCAAAAAGTGTGGGATCAGCGCTAAGAAGTTTACTTTGACTACAAAGGTCTCTCTGCTCAGTCACGCAGCAGGATCTGGGTAGGAGTGTGAAGACTAGAAAGTTGAAATTAAATTTTGCCATTGATTCCAGTACATGAAGGCTGCTGATTGGTAGTAGAATAGCCCTAGTTGCTAGGCATGAGGGTGTCTGGTGTAGCATTTGGAAGGCTACTACAGGACTATTATGAGTTAGAGGCCAGTGTGGGCTCTTCAGTGGTCTTTAACTCAAATCAGAACAACCGAAGTTCTATGCTAGGTCAGCATTTAACTATGCATGCAATGGTTTGTCATGTGTAATGTAAAGGGTGAAGTCAGTGCCCAGCAGGAAGTACAATTAGCCATATAGCATTAGGGTAATTTAGTGGCATTTATTAGGGACTGATCCCACGCAGGTGGTACAGTTCAGATCCGGGTCTCACTCAAGGCCCTCATATTAAAGGCTTGATGCTCTGCTCAGCACTAATGGGATATGGTGAAGCCTTGAAGAGGTAGGTCCTACTCTGTGGGGGGGGGTCTTTAGGTTACTAGGGACAGGGCAATCATAAAGGGTTATGGTACTCCAGCCTCCTCCTTTTCCTCTGTTTTGCTTGCTAGCCACTTAGTGAGTTGCTTTGCTATACCATATGGTTCATAGAGATGCAGGGCCTCACTGTAGGTCTCAAAATAATACTCAAATGATAATGCTTGGAAACTTCTAAAGATGTGGGCCAAGATAAGCTTGCAGTATCTGTTTTATAGTGGAAAGCTGATTAAAACATCTGGTTAAGGGAAAAGACAAAAGGTAAGATGAACTCAGAAGCCGAGCGCTTATGTTTCTTGGACCCAAAGGGGAACTCACGGAGCCTAAAAGGAAAATCAGTAGGTCTTCTGACAGGACAGATGAGTGACCTTTGAGCAAGTGTCCCAGCCAGCTCTTGGCAAGCTCTTAGGCTCTCCTTTCCTTCAAATCCCTTTTAACTAAACTTATTTTAGGAAGCCAAGGAGTATAGACCAATCTGGGTCAGCATCAGACTGAGCAGTCAATGGAGAGGGTGTAGAGTGTAGAATCTCAGAGCAAATTGGTACCTCTGAATCCCCAAGACAGTTAGATCTCCTTAGAACTTACTAACAGGAACAGTAAACCAATCAACTCCGAGCTGTTCCTAGGAGTTTCTAGGCCCTCACCCTGCCATCACTGTAACAAAAGACCCAAGGTAATTATGAAAAGGACTTAGCGTACAGTCTTCGAGGGTCCACATGATAAATGGCCCCCATTACTCTGGTAAGACCTTGGATAACCACAGCAGCTCACCTTTGTAGATCATTTTCCTAAGTTCCCAGCACCCCAGGCTTTTGTCCTGAAAGCGCCCTATCTATATGTGGACAATTCTCTAACTAAAGACAGCATTCCGAAATAGAACTTGTGATAGTTACCGTTAATTTCTTCCCAGATGTTTTCCTCTCAATTCTTCAAATTCTGTTAAAAAAATCTATACATCCATCAAAGTATGTGCTTCAGCACCCCTTCTTCTACCCTTTACAGAGCTCTCTACAGAGCCTTGCTGGATTTTTCTTCAACAAATAAGATCTTTCCCTCCAAATTCCTAAAAACATTTTTCAGTGCTGTTATTTTATCCTGTCCAAAAGAACATTTCTTAGTCCACATTAGAAGCTTTTCCTAAGAATGTCTTTTACAACTTCCCTTAATTTTCTATTTACTATAGAACTGTTTATTTCACAGAGATAGTTTTAGGTTCCTGAGATGGTTAACCTTTTGTCAACTTGACACAAATTCAGATCATCTGAGAATAGGGGACCTCAACTCAGAAAGTGCCTCCAGCAGACTGGCCTGTAGGCAAGTCTATGGGGCCTTTTCTTCTGATGTTTTGTTTTGTCTTGTCTTGTTCTGTGAGACAGGGTCTCACCATGTAGCCTTGGCTGACCTGGAAGTCATTATGTAGACCCAATGGCTTTGGACTTGCAGAGACCTCCTGCCTGCGCTTCCTGGATGCTAGGATTAAAGACATGTGATAACACACACGTAGTAATGATAGATTGGAAGAGCCCAGTCCATTGTGGGCAGTGTCACCCCTGGGCAGATAGGCTTGGGTTGTGTAAGGAAGTAGGCTGAGCAAGTCATTGGAGAGCAAGTATTCCTCCATGATTTCTGCTCCAGATCCTGTCTCAAGATTCCTTCTCTGCTTGAGTTCCTACCCTGACTTCCCTTCATCATGGATTGCAATTGAAACCAATAAGCCGTCCTTTCCTCTCTAGTTGCTTTTGGACATGGTCTTTATCTTTATCATAGCAATAGGAAGCAAGATAGGACATTCCAAAACCACTGTTAAATAGTTGCTAGGTTGCCTTTTTCCTTACAAAGAAC